ATGTGTGTGCGGTCTTTTAAAAAACAACTGCAGGAAGGAGGGGGTTACCCGTGTTTTACATTAGTAATTCAGGTCTTGCCTGCCCTGAAAGACTTCATGGAGACTGGAGAACTAGTGAAGTGATGGCATCACAAAGTCAAGCAACTGAAAGTAGAGAGGGGATGTGGTTTTCATAGAGTCATAGAATGTAAAGCCAGAAGGGACCATCAGATCATCCAATCTGACCTCCTGTATACCACAGGGCACCAACCCCACCCAACACCTGCATACTACACCCAACAACTGAAATTAGAACAGGGTATTACAGCTCTCAGGAGACCAAACTATTATGTACAACAGGCAGAGAACAGAAGGGACCAAAGTGTACCAGTGCCAGTGGCCCCTGCAATGGCAGGAAATTGAGTAAGTGAGATATACCCACATAATCCTGACAAACAACCAATGCTCCACACTGCAGATGCAGAGGAAGACAAAAACTCCCCAAGGACACTAGTAATCTGACCTGGGGAAAAATCCCTTCCTGACCCTACATATGACCCTGAGCATGTGAACAAGTACCAGGCAGGCTATAGGCGTCGAGTCTTCTAATCTGCCGAGGGGTGCTCCCACCAGCTCTGCCCATGCCCCACCCCCATTCCACCCCTTCCCCCAATGCCCCATCCCTGCCCTGCTTCTTCCCACCCCTGCTCTGCCCCCGCCCCTCCTCTTCCCACCCTGCCTCTTCCCCGCCCAGTTCTGCACCCTCACTCATCCCCCCCCCCAGCGCCTCCTGACACCACGAAAAACACAGCAGACAGGAGGCGCTGATCAGCGGGACCTGATGGTGGGCAAGAGGCGCTGGGGGGAGAGAGAGGCATTGATGGGAGGCTCCCAGTGGGTGCTGAGCACCCACCATTTTTTCCTGTGGATGCTCCAGCCCCGGAGCACCCACAAAGTTGGCGCCTATAAGCCAGGCAAGCACCCACAAGAGAGAATACTCAGTGCCACCTCAGAGCATCCGCCCACCTTGTCCAGTTTTAATGGCAGTTTAAAACTCATTGGGGGAAATCCTGGCTCTTTTCAAATTAATGGCAAAACTCCCATTGACCTGAGTGAGCCAAGATGCCACCCACTGTTGTTCTGTTTGTTCTTGTTAACACCTTTTAAATTTCAATAATTAAACAAAAAGAAAAGGAGTACTTGTGGCACCTTAGAGACTAACCAATTTATTTGAGCATGAGCTTTCGTGAGCTACAGCTCACTTCATCAGATTCATCTGATGAAGTGAGCTGTAGCTCACGAAAGCTCATGCTCAAATAAATTGGTTAGTCTCTAAGGTGCCACAAGTACTCCTTTTCTTTTTGCAAATACAGACTAACACGGCTGTTCCTCTGAAACCAATAATTAAACAAGATTGTGAGTAGAGATTCAGCATACCTTTGTCCTTCAGTTAAGATGTAAGAGTTCCCAATACATCTGATAATTAAAAGGTTAAAAATCAAGCAGGAAACCTCCTTAAAAGCCTTTTATGCCTTATTTATCAAAAAGAAGTTTTAATTTTTAAAAAATCCTAGGCATTTCACATCTAAAATCTTACCTCTGTAGCTTCTGAGGTCAGTCAGAGTTTTGTCACTGACTTCACTGAGTGCAAGCACAGACCTTAAATGAGCACACACACAGAACATAGCCTTAAATACTGACCTGCCAGTGGTTACTGGTGCACTTAGGAAGAGGGGAGGTTTGAATAGAAAAGTAAAGTAATGCTTTTAATGCACCAATAAATCTAAGACTTTGAGCTCCCCTCTCCCCCTGCATTTCTTGTGCAGTGCATCCAAATGTTCCATTGACTTCAATAGGAGTTTTATGCGCTCAAAGGCATTTATCCTTAACTCAGCTATTTTTTTTTTCAAGAATTACACCAAAACCTCCCACTGTTTCCTTGCCACGTGTCAGAAAAACATGGGCTACAAATGGCATTTTGGCATTAGCTCAGGTTCTCCTTTTCTTCTGGTTTAATTCAGACTCATTATTTGAAGAGAGCACCCTGTGATTTAATTGTTTCTATGCAGCAACAGGACTCTAAATAAAAGCAACTTTTTCATCTTATCTTCCTCAGCTTTGACATTATGTTCCATCATGGAACTTCTTTGTGTCTCTGGTGAACAGAAAGATTAAATTTTGCATGTCACACTGGCATTCTTTAATTTCTAACCTACAAAACTGTAGCGGAGTCTACTCACGGCAGGCGTGCCTCCCTGGATTTAGCATGGGGTAGAAGCTCTTCTCCTTTGGTGGCCCCTGCCAACAGCTGCCTTGGCCCTGTAGTGGTCTGCCTCTTCCTGTGACTTGGCCATCCAGGCAGCTCACTTTTAGTCATGCCTCCTCTGGAAAAAACAAGCCAGGCAAGTCAGTGGTTTGGCACCATCACACTGGAGGTTTGCCCCAATGTCAGGCTTTTAGGGCCTGCCAGCCAGCTCTTGGCTCCAGGATCTTCACACCCCACCCTTTGTGGCTGGGAGGGGAACCCAGGCCCACCCTTTACTCTGGGTTTCAGACCAAGGACCCTGTATGAAGCCGAGGAAGTCTGTTTGTTCAGACCCTCTGCTACATCCCTGAACTACTTCCTACCATGACTAGTTAGACCTTTCTCACAGTCTTTTCCCCCACTGACTCTTCTGCAGGTCCCAAAGCAATAGGGTAGTCAAACTAGCTATAAAAACAAATGAAACAGGCCTACCTGTCCCAACATGGCTCTGATCCTTAAATGTATCTATGTAAGCTCTATCCCCAGCTGGTTCTTCCTTCCAGGCAGCTTCAAGGACAGCCTCTAGCCAGGGATGAAAGTGACCGGTACTGGGCCAGGCTGGCTCCGGCCTCTGGAAGGGGCAGGACCTCGGGCAGAAGGGGCAGCATCCCCCAGCCAGCCCTTCCAGGCCGCTTGGCCTGCGCCACCCGGGGCTCCAGTGGCGATTTAAAGGGCCCGGGGCTCCGGATGCCGTTGCCGCTACCACTCCCTTTTAAATCGCCAGCCCCGGGGCTGCTGCTCCCTTTGCCCCTCCATCGCCCCTCGGTCCTTAACGTCCCTGCCCCTTTTGCCTCCCCTGTGGGCGGCCCTGCTGGTACGGACCCTACCAGCAGGGCCACTGACAGGGAGAGGGGAAGGGGCAGCGATGTAAAGCCCTGCCGCGGCAGCGCTTTAAGGACGGTCCTTTGCCGCGGCAACGCTTTAAGGATCCTCACATTGCTGCACCTTCCCCCCGCCCCTGTCGGCGGCCCTGCTGGTACAGACCCTACCAGCAGGGCCACTGACGGGGGAGGCCAAAGGGGCAGGGACATTAAAGTGCTGCCCCGGCAGCGCTTTAATGTGGGCTGCGTACGGGCCGGCGCAGGTTCTCACCGGTACGCCGTACCGGCTCACTTTCACCCCTGCCTCCGCCCCAGGCCGTGTCCCCACTCCACCCCTTCTCCCAAGCCCACCTCCATCCTGCCTCTTCCCACTCCTGCCCCACCTCTTCCTACCCCCACCCCACTTCTTCCTGCCCGGTTCCTTCCCCTCCCTCGAGCGTGTCCTGCCCTCACTCCTCTGCCCCTCCCCGCCCAGCGCCTCCTGCACACCATGGAACAGCTGATCCGCAGCGGGCAGAAAGTGCTGGGGGGGGGAAGAGGGGGAGGCACTAATGGGAGGGCTGCCCATGGGTGCTCAGCACCCACCCTTTTTTTTTTTTTCCCCCTATGGATGCTCCAGGGCTGGAGCACCCCCGGAGTCAGAGCCTATGATGGCCATTTCACCACCAATCAATCTATCTTTCTCAATGACGGAGTAAGCCTTTTCCCAGGAAAATATGTTTCCAGTCTTATACAGCACTGATGCTCCTCTCCATCTATTTCTTGGGACAATATGGCTCCCAATCCTACTTCTGAAGTGTCTGATGCCCTACTTAGGCAATCCTTCAGTGGCTGGAAGGCCTTCTCACATTCCTTCAGATCAGTGGCCTTTTCTAGGATCACTACCTTTAATTAGGTCCGTGAGAGGGGCCGCTATCGTGGAGAATCTATGTACAAATCTGCAGTAATACCCCATGACCCTGAGAAATCTCAGAACCTGTCTCTTCATTGTTGGACCAGAGTAGGTTTTAAGGCTTGGACTTTGTCCGTCAGGGGGCGGACTTGGCTTTTCCGCAGTGTATATCCAAGTAAGCCATCTCCTACCTTCCAGTTTTACATTTTGCTGTGTTTGCTATCAACCCAGCCTCCTTTAGAGACTGGAGGACTGTAACTTCTTGGTTTAGATAGGTTTCCCAGTCCTGTCTACAGATAACCACATCATCCAAAGAGGCTTTGTCATACAAACCGTGAAGATGGAGCCACTGGAAGGTGGCAGGAGCTCCATGGATGCCAAAGGGCATGGTTCAAAACTGCTATAACCCAAAGGCTGGAGAGAAGGCAATCTTCCCACAAGACTCGGCATTTTTAGTATAAGGGACCTATAATCAATCAAACGTAAGCCCTGCCCTCTCAGGCCCCACCTGACCCCTCAAGCCCCGCCCCTGGCGGTATTACTTCCGGGGTCAAGGCGGACACATGACTGGAAGCAAAAGATGTCATCTGACCCCCTCAAAGAACTCCTCCCACCGCCCTCTACCAATCAAGATGGGTTCAGGCAGAAGAGGACCTCCCCAAGAGCAGATTTGACCAATCAGGGGGAGTTCCAGAGCGGGATGATCCATCCGGAAGTGGGTCGTGTGACCCCTTTAAGAACTCCTCCCATCACCCTCTACCAATCAGGATGGGTTTCTGCCACAGAGGACCTCCCCAAGAGTGGATTTGACCAATTCGGGGAGAGTTCGGGGCCGGGTTCACCTGCCCAGAAGAGGGTCATGTGACCCCTCTAAGCTCTCCCCCTACTTCCTTCTAGCAATCAGAGCACAGCGCTGCACTGGGAAGCCCCAGTGCTGCACAGAAGAAACCATTTCACTCCAAGAACGTGTGTTTTAGAACTCGTGGAAAGTCTGAGAGAAAACATGGACTCCTTTACCACCCCCATGAGAACTTCAGACTTTGTTTTAGTGCCGAGGGCCTTCGACTGCCCACGGAGGAAGCGCTACATCAGCGACAGTTCCAAGGAGGAGGAGGGAGTGGTCATGGGGAGCCCTTTGGCCCAGCCCTTGATGGATATGCTGGAACCCAAACCCGAAACCCAAGTGCTCGCGAGGAAGAGCAACGAGCGTGACAGCATCCCATCATCCACCCCCCTAGAGGAGGAAGGCCACCGTGGCTCGTTGGAATCACTGGTGGACAAGGTGAACAGAAAAGACGTCGCTCAGGTAAATGAATGATTAAGAAGTGACGGTTGAGGATGGGATGTAATGGGGTAGGAACCGAACTGGGGGTTGCATTAATCTAAAAAACAAGCGGTGGGGGCTTACAGCTGTTTCTTTTCTGAAAATCTCTCGACAGTTCGACGATGCCTTTCTAGAGGCCCTGGAATCCCCGGACAGTGTTGTATCAGACAGCGAAGATAAACAGGGCCTGCCTTGTTTTTGCTCAACGCCAGTACAAATCATTGATGAGGATGCCAAGGATTACAGCTATGTGGAGTTTATGAGGAGGGTTGGCATGGAACTAACTGAGCCAGTGCCACGTCAGGAGTGTAAAAAGTCATGCGGCCTATTGTACGTGTTGCTGTTTATCCTGGCCTTAATCACTGTCTTAGGGAAAAGCTTGTAGAAGATTGTGAGGGCTGTGTCATAGATGTGCCAGGCCAACAGCACCATGACTGTGTGACTTGAACTTCAGAGGATATAAACTGCAAGCTCCGGGACCTGTGTGCTGAACTGTGTTCGGAAAGCTTATTAAACGCTGTTATTGCCATAGGTTATGCTATGCAATAGTCAAAGTCATTAACTCAAGAACATGTAGCACAAGGTGACACCTTGTAAATGCTATGCAATTTGGTCGAGACCCTGACAGTGTTTTAAAGAAAATACACCATACTGTATAAAATAAGCATTTGCTGTAAGAACAATCAAACATTTAAAAACTATGAAAAAAATCCCTAAGAATCAAACATTTAAAGCTATGGGTATTTGTAGAGTGTTTACTATGACTGTGCGACATCAATTTTATTTAAAAACAAATCAAAACTTTAAGCATGAAAGAAACGTTTAAAAAAACAACAACCCTAAGACATACATTGATATCTGCAAGGTCCCCCCAATCAGGAGAGGGTACAGTAACATTAAGGATTGTTGTGTATGGTGATTTACTGTTTAGTACTGTAAGAAGGCCCTACAGTTTTCATTGAAACAGAAAAATGTATTTTAACTTTAAAAAAAAAAATCCCAGTTGCGCAGATCACAAAAGGGGGATGTTTGGGGAGGGGTGCCTAAAATCCTTTTTTTTTTTTTTTTTAAAGAACGAGGAGTACTTGTGGCACCTTAGAGACTAACAAATTTATTTGAGCATAAGCTTTCGTGGGCTACAGCCCACTTCATCCGATGCATGCAGTGGAAAATACAGTAGGAAGATTGTATATACATACACACACACACAGAGAACATGAAAAAATGGGTGTTGCCATACACACTATAAGGAGAGTGATCAATTAAGGTGAGCTATTATCAGCAGGAGAAAAAAAAACCTTTTGTAGTGATAATCAGGATGGCCCATTTCCAACAGTTGACAAGAAGGTGAGAGGAACAGTATGGGGGAAAAATAAACATGGGGAAATAGTTTTACTTTGTGTAATGACCCATCCACTCCCAGTCTCTATTCAAGCCTAAGTTAATGGTGTCCAGTTTGCAAATTAATTCCAATTCAGCAGTCTCTCATTGGAGTCTGTTTTTGAAGTTTTTTTGTTGTAATATTGTGACTTTTAGGTCTGTAATCGAGTGACCAGGGAGACTGAAGTGTTCTCCGACTGGTTTTTGAATGTTATAATTCTTGACATCTGATTTGTGTCCATTAATTCTTTTATGTAGAGACTGTCCGGTTTGGCCAATGTGTTTAAGTATCTTCCGGGATCAGGGCCTTAGGGCTCGATCCAAAGCCCACTGAAGTCAATGGAAAGACTTCCATTAACTTCATGAGTAGGCTTGGCAGCATAGGATTTTATTTTTTTTTAATAATTTTGACAGATATCAATGTTTATTTAAGATTTTATTTCCCTATTTTTATTCACAGTTGCAGGAAATTAGGAAGGGTGTCAGACAACAGTGAGAGTAAAACAATAATTTAACGACAATAAATGTTGAGAAACAAAAAGTTAATGCTTTATAAATTGTTAAAACACAAATTGTCAGCATCACATGCAGAATATACAAAGTAAATATTCTTAAATCATACTCTAAGTTCTCAAGCAGCTTTTCTTACTTTGCCTGTCTGCGACTTTTGATTATCAATAGAAATATTTTTTTCATCGGTGTATGTGTGTACAGTGAATTAGATGTTTGCAGCTAAAAATCTAATCCTTCAAACATATTCATAAGCATTGGATCAATCCCTAAGTAATCTTTTACTTGCATGCAGCAATATTAAATGAAGCTCTTTATTGATTTGACAGTATGGGCCACAATTATGCAAACATTTACACACAAGAATAACTTTCTGTGGGTGAAGAGTCTCTTTGACTCATGAATTCCATTGGTTAGTAAATATAAACAGGGATACTTGAAGGTTTAATTGTTTTCAGCTAGCAATAATTTAGTCATTGGGCTTTTTGTACGATAAATAAAAGAAGACTGGGGAGAGCCAATACTGTTAGAATAGCACCTTTTCTAAATATTTATTTTCACTTTAAGAATGATTGGTGAAGAGCTCCCTGTTATTAACCAGGAGTATTCTGATCCATAAATCCCAACTTTTTCCCTGTTCTATTTTAAAGGGTCACTTGATACTTGGTGATAGGATCATGTAAACTAGGAATGTATGGAACAGATGTTTTATTGTATCTGGGTGCCTTAGCCAGAGCTTTGAAAGACAACTGGAAGAAAGATTGAATTTACTGCTGATATAATTTATATGTTACCCTTTTATATTTTTGTCTCAATTTCATGAGATAAATCACACACACCAGAATTGGAACTCTGGGTATGAATGTCAGGATACTTGATTAGTTGGACAAGGTGTCTGAGCCAGAATGTTAATTCCTATGTTCCCATGATAGATCCTGAGATAAAGCGAGATTAGCTCCTGCAGGAGGTACTTATTCCATGGACAAAAACTGCTTCTGAAAATCCTAAGAACTAAACCTTGGAAAAGAACTATAAGAAAACCCATAAAAACTACTAAGGACTAATTGTCAAGAAGGTCATACAAATAATAATAACAATGTGAAGCTGCTATCAATTTCTCCTTATTTGCAGCTAAGCTTTGCTAAAGGCAATCACGTGTAAGATGAAGATGTGGAACAAAAACATTTTCCATCTGAAACCACTGGACCAAGAAAACTTTGAGTTGCTTGTTTTGGTGGTGTATTTCCTGACAAAGGTCAGGATTTATAAGGGGAAGAGGAAAAAAAAAAAAAACACCTGTTGGAAAGGAATCATACTATGGAAAGTGGTGAAAAGCTACCATGTGAACACAAAGAACAGGTGCCTTCTAACTGTGACAGAACCTTTCTTCCAATGAAGGCTTAAAAAATAAGGTAAGACAAGTTAGGTTACCTTCCAAACTTGCTGCACTTTTTAGGAAATGAAGGCTACAAATGGACAGCAATGCATGATGTCTGTTACACAAACGTGAATGGTTGGTTTAAATCCACGTTCACAGACTGCGTGCCACAATTAATGAAGATGCCCTGTAAGTGCTTTGCTCAACATATTGACCTGGCTGCTAACAAGAAAAATGTGGCACTTACCTACTTAAGGAAACATACTGAAGAGGTTAATAAAGAGGACTCTGCAGACATCATCCATTGATGATGGTGACGACCAATAGCATTTCTCAGCATAAGTCAACCAAAAACCTCTGTGTATGGATTCTGTTGTTCGCCTAATAGCTCACGAATTATGAAGTGGAATAATTGACAATGGAATATTTGAGAGTGCTTGTAAATTTGACCAAATCTAGTTTAAATCGGGAACTTGTGCTCATAGAGTACACACACACACACTGGGTCCCTATCATGAGGATAAACTAAAATCAAGTTCTGTACAAGATGACCCTCTCCTAGAAGTGGCCATAATGCTTGGAACTGTATTACAGATGGTTCCTGTGCTGCTCTGCTAGCTGTTCCTGCAATCATTCCAGCATGCTTTGAACTGAGCAGTGAGATGAGGCATTTTTGTGCCAAATCATCTCTTTTTACTAGATGGTTTTCCATCAGCCATCAGAGATGTCATCAAGGAACTTAGACTCTAGCTTACTGAATATACCAGATGCATGACAGAAACATGGAGATCTGCAAGGTCTACGATAACACACGTGATATTATGATAGAGGATGCAGAAAAGTGGGCTGAGAGGATGCAGAATGAGAAGCCCTCTCTCAGGGCTTGATTCTTGAGTCCACTCTTGCTGCTTTGTACCAGCATGGTAGCATTTTATATCCATTTTGCACAGCTGTAAATGACTATACAAGGTGCAAAATAGTGGAGAATCAGGCACTATGTGTTACAGCCTATGAGGCTAGTTTGCTAGCTTGCTATCTTGCATAATGAATTTTCTTCATTGGTTTGATTGATTATACTGTTTGGGATTTTGTTTATACCAAATTCCAGTATATATTACTCTTAATATTTGGCTATAGTGCAAGGAACCAACAGGCCTACATCCTATATGATTAAGCTAGAGTAAGTTGGCATAAGTGTTTGTAACCTTTGGCATAGGTTACCTACCAATTACCCCTATTTGTCTTTGGGGAACTGAATGGAGAACCGAACGGAGAACTGAATGGGTTTACCATGAGTCTGGAACAGACCGGTAACTACAGGGTACACTGCAGAACATGGAAGTCATGATTTAGTCCAATGGTAAAGGTTTCGGGGATGAGATAATTGATATTAATATGTATGAATATATGTTAAAATGTAAGCCTATAGAATAAATGTACCCGAAGATTTATCTGGGTGAGGAAATAAGATTTGGGCATGGTAGATTGGGCACTGATATGAATATTCAGGGCATTGCCAGGACCTTATAAAAGGGCAAACAACCATGCAGAGGGGGTCACTCTTTTCTATCAAGCTATCAGCTCAGCTTTGGCAATATAGCTTAGCTACTCAATACTCAAACCTGATCTCGACCAACTTGGGGAGACTGGACCATCGAATTCATTGGGCATGCCAGAGATGAGGCAGACACCTAGTATGGAAACTTTCAGCCCAAACAGTTAAAGCTTGGCAAAGACACAAGCAACTGAAAAGTGTCTTATAAAGGGAAGTATTGGCCAATCTTAACTACAGGTGGTGCTACCAGCCACCTCTAATTCTTGTACAATGCTGTGGTACAAAATCATGATGATAAGCATTTGATTAACGATGATAGAATGTGATCCTGAGTGAATGGTACAATAGACAGTTTCCAAGGACAGGAATAACAACATGTTTAAGAAAATGATGAAGGCTGCCAGGCATGGGCAGCATACCTAGTGGGTGGAACAGGACCTTGCCA